CCGCGTTCAGAAGCCATAAGTCTATTTTTGAAGAAAGAATCGAATTGATTCAGAATCGGGCATTTCTAGTCATAAGTCTCTACTAGCCAATCATAAAGCTTATAAATATTTGTTCGACCAATAAACGTAGGCTGAATAATAACCCAGAATATGTTAACCTAAAGTCCCTATAAGAATCTGGCATATGTTTCTAATTCGACAAAACATGGCGTCGTAGATAAGATGAGATAAGATTAAATAATATGAAGGCTACGTTTCGAAATTCATTGCCAATATTGAAATCCTATAGTATATGTAACATGAATAATAGATTTTCAGTATTGGCAGTGAATTTCGGAATGCAGCTAAAATAAGACTTCTCTAAGATATGGAGAACTTATAGAGCGAGACAGTACAAAACATTATTAATTAGTCAAGACTAATGTTTATTAATACTAAAGTACTAATAGTAGTTATATAAAGAAGTAATAAATAGCAGAAGTAAATAAATACTTATAATAAATATATATATATATATATATATATATATATATATAAACATTATAATGCATGCAAATGTGTTGAATAATAATAATGTGTCAAAAATAATTTTCTAACCTGGTATATTATATCGAATGTGTAATATAAGATGTATATAAATTGTAGAAAATGATTGAAATTATTGAAAACACGTTTCTTTCTTTCTTGTTCCTTTCCTATTATTTGAATAATATCGCTCGCAAAACATAGATTCGAGACATCTTATTGGTTCCGCCATATTTTGTCAAAACCAATAGAAAGTTTGACAACATAAGCCAGACTCTTAGGGCTATCGCACACAAATTGACATAACTGCATATGCATAGCATAAGACCGCATGTACCAATGAGCATCGAGTATTAAGTCGCCATATTGGTGTTTGATGTTTAATATTCGATGTTCATTGGTCTATACGCCCTTACTATAGGGATTCTAGGTTAACCCAGAGCTAGTCGAATATGATATTAGTCAGTTCTTTTCAGCTGCACTGCTGAACTGATGCAATAAGTTAAAGTGAGACAAATATATCTTTTTTCACTCTACTTATGCACCAGTTCAGCAGTGCAACTGAAAAGAACAGACCAAGTATGAATCCTCCATAAGTAGTAAGAAATTGACCAATTACAGTTGAATGTGATAAAAATAATCGAGAATGGGTGCTTTCCATTTAATAACACAAGTCGACATAAGCATCATTCTGTCTTTGTTCCATATTCAATGAGTAACAAAGATAGAATGATGCTTGTGTTGACTTGTGTTATTAAAAGCACCCAATAATGGGCAAGCGGCGAGTTTGCAGCGCTGTCGGCGAGCAAAGTTTTGATTGGCTGTGAAAAGTTGTTTACGTTAGAAAAGTATAGTTTGAAAGTTGATCTGATAGTCAAGACTAAATCCCGAATATTTCTCGTATTTATAATCGTTCTTCGCGTGGAGTTTCACGATGGTGCGATATGCCGCCCTTAAAGGACTGTATGACCTGGAAGAGACAATCGGTAGCGGCGGTTTCGCTAAAGTTAAACTTGCCACTCACGTTGCTACCGGCGAGAAGGTTGCTATTAAGGTTATGAGTAAGACTGCATTGGGTGTAAGCAAGATTATATATGATAAAACTATTATTCTACTAGAATAAGTTTTCCTATTATTCTATTTTTTTTTATTATGTTCTATTATATTATTTCCTATTATATTATTTTCTATTATTTTTATTATTTTTTTATTATTTCTATTGGGAGAAATCTTTTATTTAATTTGATATTCTTGTTTTTCTCTCAACATGTGACTTCATCTTAAGACATATATGTATAATGGTTTATATTTATTTCAGGAAGACCTACCAAGAGTAAAGCTGGAAGTAGAGGCGCTTAAGACGTTGTTACATCAACATATTTGTAGATTATATCAGGTTATAGAGACAGAGAGTAATTATTTTATGGTGATAGAATATTGCTCTGGTGGAGAATTATTTGATCATATAGGTAAAACTTTAAAGTAATCAAAATAATGTTGTATTCTTAAGAATTCTAAATGTTACTGAGAGACATAATTTTTTTTTATCACAGTGGAGAAGAATAGATTATCAGAAACTGTCTCCCGTAAGTTCTTTCGCCAGATAGTTTCTGCTGTGGCTTATATGCATAGTTTAGGCTATGCTCACAGGGATTTGAAACCTGTAAGTATGCTTTAGTCTATTCTTTGTCTAATGATACTTGCTATTGAATAATTGTTTCCTTTTCTTATTAGGAGAATGTTTTGTTGGATAAAGAACAGAATTTAAAATTAATTGACTTTGGTCTATGTGCAAAACCCAAGATGGGAATGCAGTCGCACTTGTATACTTCTTGTGGTTCTCCTACCTATGCTGCTCCAGAGCTTATAATGGGAAAAAAATATTTAGGTGCATAGTTTTTTTTCCAGATATACTTCTCTGTAATTTCACGTTTAATGCATAAAATTTCACAGGTTCAGAAGTAGATATTTGGAGCATGGGAGTCCTCCTCTATGCTTTACTATGTGGCTTCTTGCCTTTTGATGATAATAATTTAGAAACTTTATATAAAAAGATACTTGTAAGTGTTTCAGTTGGTAAAGTTAAATCATTTATACAAATATATAAATCGTTAATGTAATTATTTTCCAACAGAGTGGCAAATATGAAGAACCATATTGGTTGTCTAACAATAGTAAAATGCTGATCAGGAAGATGCTACAAACCGATCCGACAAAAAGGATTACTATTCATGAATTATGTAATCATCCATGGATTACATCAAATTCTCTGAAACCTGTATCATTCGTCAATAGAACCAATGTAAGTATCTTTCGTTTATACCGTAACAGCACAGATGTCCAGGAGACATCCAGAGTATGTCCTGAGAACATCTTGAGGACGTTTCTACGTTCTCAGAACATCTCTGGGACATCTAGGAGATTTTGTGCTATATTGGTATATATATATATATATATATATATATATATATATATATATATATATATATATA